CCCCCCCACCCCTTTCAGCTACTCCTTCCATATCCTGAGACCTGCCCCCACACAAGAGAACCGCCAATGAGTTAATGCAGTTTGAGCAGGGGGGCACCCAGATGGATCTTGGTTCTGATTGGCCCGTGGCCTTGGGGTGCCTGTGACTACCCCTTGGGCTGATTGAGACTCAGGGTGAGATTCCGTGTGGGCCAGAGGAAAACTGTTCCCCAGGGTTTCCAGCGGCCGATCTTTTGGAAGTGGGTTACCAGGTCTTTCTTGGGAGGCACCATCCTTTCTGTTAACAGCTGAACATGCTAGCCACTCACTCAACTCAGAGACCCCCGGGGGTCTGATGGTTAGGCATTTTAGAATCTCCTCCCTGCCAAGAGCCCCGCTTTCTCAGTGGGACCAGCCATTAAGTTGTTCATGGATTTTTTCTGGTTGACTGACTCCAGGAGCCCCGTAACCCCCTCTTTTTTGGGTGTTTGTTGTTATAACGGAAGCCTCGGCGTGGCTGTTTCCCCTCCACGGTGTGCAGGGAGATCCACAGTGAAGTGTTCTGAGTGTCCACGCTAATGAATAGCTGTCAGTAACCCCAGGGGACAATTGGTCACTGCAGACTCATCCTGACAGTTTCATTCATTTATTCCTCTTCAATTCATTTGTTCATCCAACATATTTGGGGGGGCAACAGCCACTCTGTAGAGCATGGGGTCCCCTTTTCAGAATAAAAATTACTTAGCAACGCCCCTCTCCACCCTACCTGCCTTCCTGGCCAATGGAAAACTTTTCACAATAACCCATCATCCGGAATAAAGTATGGGCATCTGCTTTTGCAGCCTCCCTGGATCATTCCAGGGAAGTCTGGTGGCATATTGCATTACCCATTCGGCTACTAACCACCAAGCCAGCAGTTCAAACCCACCAGCTGCTCCTCAGGAGAAAGATGAGGCTGTCGACTCCTGTAAAGATTTACAGACTCGGAAACCCCAAGGGGCAGTCTAGGCTGCCCTACTGGTCAATGGGATCCCTGGTGGTGCAGTGGCTACACATTGGGCTGCTAACCCCAGTATGAGCAGTTTAGAACCCATCAGCCGCTCGAGGGAGAAAGACAAGACTTTCTACTCCCGTAAAGAGGTACAGTCTCAGAAACGTACGGGGGGCCATTCTACCCTGTCCTATAGGGTCGCTATGGGTCGGAATCAACTCAGTGGCCGAGAGGTGAGGGTATTTTTTTTTTCCAGAGAGCTGCTATGAGTCACAAGGACTGGAAGGCAGTGGCTTTTTTTTCTGTCTTGTAGCAGTCCTTCCCCCACGGCAGTGCATCAGACATCATTCTGGACTGGAATTAAGATGATAAACCAAAGAGATGCCTGTCGTTGTGGAGAGGAACGCTCTAGCTGGGGAGACGGCTATTAAATAAATCCACTTCCCCGCATGTGACAGAATTGAATGAGTCACCTGAGAGCATTACAAGAGGGTCGGAATTTAGACCAGGTCCCCAAGGGCTTTTCTTCAAGATGTAACATTAAGATGAGAAGTACCCGGGTGGGTAGGGGGTGGTGATGGTGGTGGTGGCTCTAAGCTCTCCCACCAGAGAGTCCCAGGGAGCTGGTGCCCGCCTCTGAGGGCAGCAGGTTTAGGAGGAGCCGCAGTTCGCTTGGCCGCTATGAACCTTGGCCCTCTCCTCAGTCCAGATCAGGGCTCTGAGTCCTTGGAAAGCAGCCCTCTGGGGCTCAGTTTCTGTCTGTGAAATGGATGAGTGTCAACCAGTACACGGTGCACACAGTGCCTTGCCTTTCCACAGCCCTTGTGTTTGTATTCCTGGACCCTTGTGTGCGTCCAAAGACGCCCCTGGTGGCGAGCGCTTATGCATTAGGCTGCTAACTTCCAGGTCAGCAGCACATAGAGGGATCTCTTCTAGTCAGTTGGCCAAGTAACTTTCTTCCACATTTCCTGGCGTTGATGAGTGAGTGCTTTCAGTGCTCCATCCGCTTTCTGAAACGTTTCAGTTCCATCAATTCCTGGAGTCTTGTGTTGGCTAATTCAGTACAGCTTGAACGTCTTCGGTTAGCACCATTGGTTGTTGCTCATATGCTGGCTCCAGAGATGGTGGAATGTCAACTAGTTCTTTTTGGTGGGTTGACTGTGTATTTGTCCCTCCTTCTCTTGATGCATCCGGCATTATTCAATATGTTTCCTGTAGAACCTTTCAAGATTGCAACTCGAGGCTTGAATTATTCTTGAGTTGGTTCCGTTTCAGATATGGTGAGCATGTGCTTCCCTTCTGATTTTCTAATTCAAGATTTTTGTGCATTCCATGATAACATTTGTCTTTGCCTTCGTGAGCTGCCCTTTCGGCTCTTTGACTTCAGCCTTTCTCCACTGGCTTTAGCTGTGCTATGACTGAGAACTAGTTTCAGAGTGTGTTTTCACAGGCACTTTGATCTTTATTTCTATTCCTGCCTTTTTTAGTGACCTTTTGCTTTCTTCAGGAGTGCTGGTCTAGAGGGCCTCCCGCGGATCACCGGGTTTTCTGTCATTCATGTTCGGTGCGGAAAACCTGCGCGGGAGATGTCCTCAACATTCGGGTGGGCTGGCCGCAAGGTGGTATTTGGGCCCTGTGGGCTTCTTCTAATTTTCTTCAGCTTTATCCTGAACTTCTTACATATGAGCAATTGGTGGTCTTTTCCAAAGTCAAGCTCCGGCCTGGTTTTAGCTGCTGATACTGAGCTTCTCCATCATGTCTTCCCACTGATGTGTCCATTTGATTTCTGTGCATGCCATCTGGAGAAGTTCATGTTTGTGTTGCTCAAAAAGGGTAGTTGCCATGAACAAGTTGCTGGTCTTGCAAAATTCTATCATGTGATCTCCAGCTTGATTTCTATCACTGAGACCATATTTTCCAACTACGGTTCCTTCCTCTTTGCTTCCAAATTTTGCACTTGAGTTACCAATAATTATTTATGCATCTTGATTGCATGTTTGATCAATTTCCGATTGGAGTCGTCGGTAGAATTTTTCCATTTCTTCCTCACCAGCTTTTGTTGCTGGTGCATAAATTTGAATAGTAATGGTATTGATTGGATTTATTTGAAGGCAGATAGATATAATCCTATCACAGACAGCAAATACTTCATGATGGATTTGCATTGTCCCTTTTGACAATGAATGCTACACTTTTCTTCTTGTGTTATTCCCCATGTGTTAGACCAGATTGACTAGATAAACAAATCCAGGGACACTCATATGTGTGTAAGAGAGAGCTGTATATCAAGAAGTAATTATATATTAAAAAAAAATCCCAGCCCAATCCAGAGCAAGTCCATAAAGCCAACACTAGTTCATAAATCCCCCTTCAGAATCTGGCAGTCACACCCAATAATGCGGAATGCAGGGAGATCACAGGCTGGTGGGTGCAAAGTCTTGTAAATCCAGTGGCGGTGGACGCATCTCCAGGACTCTGGCTGTCCTCAGCGTGGCTAGAAGTGTCTCGTCAACAGGAAGGTGAAGCAGAGCGAGAAGGAGAGGTTCCCAGGACCCTCCTTATGAGGAGGTATGCCTCAAGGAGGCACCATAAGGCTGTGCCCTGATTGACAAGTTAGACTCCACACGTACACTTCAAGTTGGCAGGACATTATGTAACTGCCACACCCGGCATAGTAAATCACATGATTTTCTGATTCAAAATGGCCAGCACCGTCCATGTCAGTGCATGAATGCCTAGAATATTGACCTTTATGTGTTTTATTCCATTTATGATGACTTCCAATTTTCCTAACATCCATACTTTGCATATTCCACATTCCAATCACTGGAAGATTTTTTTTTTGCAGCTGTTTCTCTTTCCCTTGAGTCACGCCCCATCAGCAATGAAGATCCTGAAGGCTCCCCTCCCCCAGGCTTCCCCTGACTCACGGCACCTTGGTCGACTCCCCTCCAAGAAATCAGCTATTTCAGTTACATCTTGAGTGCCCTCGGACCTGAGGGGCTCATCTGCCGGCAGCGTCTCCAATAATGTTCTGCTTCCTTTGTGTAGTTTTCGGTATTTCACAGTGCTTTGAGCTAAGCATATGGTTTTCAGCACCTTCTTCCTCCGAAGCCGGGAGCCGAGTCCGACCTCGCTGTCTGTTCTTAGTCTGGACGGTCCACTGAAACGGTTCCCTTTGGGCGACCCTGCTGGCATTTGAAATTCAGTGACACAGCTTCCAGCATCATAGCAACACACAAACCACCACCGTACAACAAACAGTCAGACAAGCGGTTGCTTTCCCAGAACAACTGTACAGCCCTCAGGGTACAGTTCTATGCACAGGGTCCGGGGTTGAAGTTGAATGGGTGCCTGTTGTTTGTTTAACTTCGAGGTGTTAGTTTTTGTCATCCGTTGATGCTGCCACCCTTTCATCCTTCCTCTCCTCCAGGCCCATCTTCTCTCAAGGGCTCGGGTTCTCTGCTCACACAAAGCCCATCTCCTCTCCTGCGATGCCCCTCAGCCCGCCTGGTTTCTCTGATCCAAGTGCCGCTCGCTCGTTGGCTTTGTCCCCTGTCTGCCCGCCCCTCCCCTCAACGGGCTCCTGGCAGCCTGCCCAGCAGTCTGTTTTTCTTTCTCAGTGATCCATCTGCCCTCTGCTTTCTGGCTCTTTCCTCTCCGCCTGGCTTCCCACTAGATGCTTGCCCTGCCCCTCCCTCCTCTCTGCTCTCACCTGCCCATCCATGGCTGAGTTTCTTCTCAAACTTTTCGATGCACATGGTTAAATAAATGATTTCTAAAAATCACAATACTAAGGAAAAGGTGTACCGTTAGGTGCCCTGCTTCTAGCACTGCCTCTGTCTGCCCGCTGGCTGTGCCGCCCCACCTGGTGGGCGAACATTTTTATTCCTTTCCCAGGGGTAACCCTTCAGAGCTCCTTTCTACAAGCACAAAGCCCCCGTGCTCCCCTTTCTCAGCTACAAGATGCCCTCTCTGTTTGCTCTTTTGCCTTCTTCACTTAACAGCAGTGAGCAGTGTGCATCCCTGGGAGTGTACTGTACATCCCTGGGAGATCAGCAGGCAGCACCCCTGGTTGCAGCCGTAGGTAAAAGTGCACCCCCCCACCTCCCGGGGATTGTACACAAGGATGCAAGGAACAACCTCATGCACTGTGTACGTGCCAGCCAGAGTGTTCCTCACACACTTCCTGATCCTCCACTTCCGTCCGCATGAAGCGGGCTGCCACCAGGTCACCTAGATTGGTCCCTTCTTGTTGGCCAAGTCCTTAGACCTGGCTTTCGTCTCTGCCTCCTTCCCTAGAAATTCCCCACCGCCCTCAATTTCGACTCTTGGCGACCCGGGTGTGTCAGAGTAGAACTGTGTTCCACGGGGCTCTCAAGGTTGGGGCTTTGCGAAGCAGATCACCAGACTTCTCTTCCAAGCATCCTCGGGGTGGGCTTGACCCTCCAACCTTTGGGCTAGGCGCTGAGCACCGCCCAGGGATTCCTTTAGATGTCTTCTACCAGAACATTCCACTTTCTTCTCTTCACGATCCCTGGGGACAAAGTCCTGTCATTTTACAGGTGGCAGAGGGGCTTATACACTGGGCTGTTAACCGCAAGGTCAGTGTTACGAAACCAGCAGCCGCTCGGTTGGGGAAAGTAAATGGTTACAGTCTTGGAAACTCACAAGGCCAGTTCTACCCTGCCCTGTAGGGTTGCTATGAGTTGGAATCGACTCAATGCCAGTGCATTGGTTTTCTGGGTGGTAGACATAGCTCAGCTGCCAGCCGAAAAGTCAGGAGGTCAATCCACCCAGAAGTCCTTTGGCAGAAAGGTCTAGGGAGTCTCTTGGTGAGAAACCCCTGAGGTCACCTGGAGTTACAGTCAACTCAACTGCAACCACCCTGAAGAAGAAAAAAGTAATTTAAAGAAATGAGAGAACTCTACCTCAGAGATGTTAAGTCACTGGTCCAAAGTCACATAGCCTGTCAACCACAAGCCTGCCAATTACCCCAGTTGGCCTTCACAGTTGGGTTCTTTGCCCAAGTTGGCCTGGCCCCACAGTGGTCACATCTGCTAGACCCCCGAGCGAAGGGCTTGTGGAAGTCTGGGGCTCCTTTGTTTCAGCCCCCTAATCCTTCCTCTTTTCCAGCTTTCGGGAGGATTTCCATTATAACGACACTGCGGGCTACTTCATGATCGGAGGGAGCAGGTATGTGGCCGGCGTGGAAGGGTTTTTTGGCCATCTGAAGTACTACCGCCTGCGCACCCTGGACCCTGCCCAGGTGAGCCCGGGGGACCAGGAGACGTTTGCGGCCCCCACGGGGTGTGAGCGGGGGACTCTGGGCCACGTGACCCTAGTAAACAAAAGATGTTTCCCAGCGAGAGCGCGCATGAGCTATCATCAAACGTAATTAATAGGAAGGCTTTTCCCCAGCAAACGCAATAATAGATTCCTGTTAACGCTGGGTTCATTTAGTACTCATAAAATGGAACCCATTTACTTCCTCTGTTTTAATAACGACTAGCTTAATTATAGAGTAGCTTTTTATCAGGCGGTTGCCTATCCAGTGATTAAGCTAATGAAAGGCGAAAGTCTTCGTTACTTGGTAAAGCTTCTTTGGTATGCTTTTATTTAAAGTATCAGAAGAGGCGCTGCCCGGGTAAATTATCACCCTGCTTCTTCCCTTCACTGCTCTCTTTGGAGGCGCGGGCGTGGGCACCCGCTGGCAATGGGGGCTGGGGGCAGGCTTGGGGTGTGGCTTCGTGTTCAGAACCATCTGGGGCACTTGGCTCCACTCACCAGACCCCTCACCAGGGGAACTGCCGGGGCCTCTGGGCTGCCATCTTCACTAGGATAGAGCCCCACTGTGGTGGCTTTCTCTGTGGCCTCGTGGGTTCATTCTCAGGCTACTAACCAAAAAGTTTGTGGTTCAAACCCAGCAGCTGCCCAATGGGCGAAAAATGAGACTGTCGGCTCTCATGAAAGAGCTAGGGTCTCGGAAACCCTTAGGATCAGTACTACTTTGCCCTGCAGGGTCACAACGCATCAGAACTGATTCACAGTCAGGAGCCTGAAGGAGGGCGTTCGCTCATTTCTCTCCTCCGGCTCTCTGGGGCTTGCTCTGGGGAACAAACATCTTAGGAGGAGACGTGGGATCGAGCCCCTTTTGAGCCCTTATGAAGAAGGTTCTATGAAGAGGAAAAACGCCAATTCTCTTACTTGTACGACCCGTGCTTATTGAGGACATAATGTGTGTCAGGCTCTGTGCTAGCGGTCGAAGGGGCCAAGGTGGTGGGTCCACAGTCAGAAATGTATTTCCTGTCACGGCAAGCACATACAAGTGGATAATGATGCACGGAGAACTCAGCACAGACATAGAGCTACACTAGAATGCAAAGCAGAAATGGGATTTTTACAAGGAAGACATAGTTTGGCGGTGTGCAAATACGTGCTGATATTTTGTGTTCTGTTTTCTGTCACCAACAAGCCGTACTCAAGTTCATGAAATGTTTGACCAAATAGAGCAGGCTAATGTTGAATTTTGTATGGCCCTCAAATGATACAAATCTCCAAATGGCTCTAGGCTAAAAAACAAAACAAACAACAACAACAACAACACACACACCCCCACAGCTCCCCACCACTGCTCGGAAGGGTCACAGTCTCCAGTGTTGACACCCCCAGAGGTAAGACAGGCCCTGTCCTTGAGTCTCTTTGGGCCTGTAAGCAAACAAATCCCTAAAGACAAGCGTTAATTCAGATATGCGCACAGTATGTGGGAGCACTTGATGGGGACGTCTGGATTTGCTGAAACTTGACCGTGGGGTGCTCTCTGTGGGCCTCCTGCCCTCAGGCATGGCCTTGCAGGTGTGGGCTGGGAGCTGGAACCACCCTGCGGAGGAGGCTATGGCTCATGGAACCCCTGGGAGGGAAGGTGGGTTTTCTAGGGCGAGTGGGCAGCAGGGGGCACAAGAGGGTGGAAGCCGGGACCCTTTAGGGCAGTGGTTTGCAACCTTCCTAATGATGCAACCCTTTCATACCGTTCCTCATGTTGTGGTGAGCAACCCCAGCCGTAAAATTGTTTTCGTTGCTACTTCATCACTGTAATTTTGCCACTGTTATGAATCGGGTGACCCCTGTGAAAGGGTCGTTCGACCCCCAAAGGGGTCGCGACCCACAGGTTGAGAACCGCTGCTTTTAGGGCCTCTGCTGACATGATGGATGGAGATTTGGAGCAGCTTCTGAGGGAGTGGCAGATTGGAGAAGCTTCTCAGGAGCCCTGGTGGCCCAGTGGTTACACCTTGGCCTGCCAACTGCCAGGTCAGCAGTTTGAAACCACCAGCCTCTCCCGGAGAATGATGAGGTTTTCTAGCCCCCCAAAGAGTTACACTCTCAGAAACCCGCAGAGGCAGTTCTACCCTGTGCTACAGGGTTGAACTGACTGGTGACCGTGAGCGAGAGACTCTTAGAAGGGAGTCCTGAGCAACACACACGTACACACACTTCATGTGGGGTCCGAGTCCGGATGAACTTGCGGGCACCCGGGCATGGGGTGACGTTGGGGTTGGGGATGGTCACACAAGAGATTGATGGGCGTTTGGAGACCATTGTTCATCCGATTGTCTTGGCTTCTTGCAGATTGTTAACCCCTTCCTGGAGAAGCAGCTGGCTGAGCAAATCAGACTATATTATGAAAGCTGCGCCGAGGTGCAAGGGATCGTGTCGGCGTTTGCGTCTGCGCTGAGGCTGGGCAGCGGGGGCGAGAGGACGTGTAAGTATTGAGCTTCAGGAGAAGGTCCAGCAGTGCTTGGCTCCTTTGGAATGAGGTTTTTGCACTGACCCTATGGTAACGTAATGGGTTCCGAGTTGGGCAGCAAAGCGAAAGGTCAGCAGTTCAAAACCACTATGGGAGAAAGCGGAGGCTTTCTACTCCCTTAAAGAGTTACAGCCATGGGAAACCCATGGGGGTAGTTCTACCTTGTCCTACAGGGTCCCATAAGTTGGAATCAACTCGAGGGCAGGGAGTTTGGGTTTTTGACACACGACTTGGCTTCGTCTCCCAAGGGGGCCAGGGTAGCCAGGAGCCCGCCACAGGAGGGTGCGAGGGGAGGTGGCCTTCCACCAAGCAGACTAGGCACAGCCAAGAAGAACCATGATTGTCTCTGCGGCTTCCACCAATGTGGTTGGAGTTTAAGGATGCTGGGGAGAGGTTTGGACCCTCGCGGGGCCTTGCTTTCTTACCCGCCACCCCTCAGCATGCCGGAATGGTCCATGCAAATAAAAATGGATCGGAAAATAAATTAATCATTAGAAATGTTTTCCCCATCGGTGCACTTTTGTTTGGGGCCATTAATATCTGAAGAATCGCTTTGAGAAATGTCGAGCTGTGACTTTGTTGTTTGAGTGGTGGTTTTTGTGTTTTTGTTTTTTTTAAAGCCTTGAAATAGGCTCCTTCTGGAAGGCGTGGGTAATTTCCCGTGCTGTTGTTGTTGGGGGCCTTTGCGTCGGCGCCCCCTCATCGTGGCAGCCCTCGGTGCCACAGGACCAGACAGTGCCCAGCCCTGCGCCAGCCTTACCACAGTGCCTGTGTTTGAGCCCTGTGCCCATCCATCTCCCTCTTCACTGCCCCTCTGTGTTCCCAAGCATGATGTCCTTCTCAGAGGACTGGTCTCTCCCAATAACATGCCTGGAGTACAGGACAAAAACCTCATTCCCCTGGCTTCTGAGGAGCAGGGTGCACTTCTTCCAAGACCGGTTTGCTTGCTTGCTCTCTGGCCGTCCATGGTACTTTTTTTTTAATTGAGTCATTTTATTGGGAGCTTATACAACTCTTATCACAATCCATCCATCCATCCATTGTGTGTCAAGCACACTTGTTCATTTGTTGCCATCATCATTCTCAAAACATGTGCTTTCTACTTGAGCCCTTGGTATCAGCTCATTTTTCCCCTTTCCCCGCTCCTCCTCCCTCATGAGCCCCTGGCAATTTATAAATTATTATTTTGTCATACCTTCTGCTGTCTGACATCTCCCTTCACCCACCTTTCTGTTGTCCATCCCCCAGGGAGGAGGTTATATGTAGATCCTTGTAATCGGTTCCCCCCATGGTACTTTCAATATTCTTTCCACCAAGACCCAAACACAACTACCATCAAGTTGCTCCAGACTTACAGCGACACTACAGGGCAGGGTAGAACTGGCCACGTGGGTTTCCGAGACTGTAACCCTTTTCCGGAGTAGAAATCCTCATCTTTCTCCCTCAGAGCAGCTGGTGGTTTCAAACTGCTGACCTTATGGTTAGCAGCCCAACGCATAACCACTGTGTCCTAAGAATGAAGTGCAAATAGATCACTTTCATGCGTTCCCCATACGAACAGGGACATCCTTTCATTTACATGGTTGTTTATAAGCATAAAGCCTGTCTGCTTTCTAATGACGCCCACACTTGGATCTTGGAGTCCTAGAGGTGCAGTGGTCCAAGCGCTTTGCTGCCACCCCACAACGTGGTAGATCAAGCCCCTGGGGCGTGCCCACGGAGAAAGGTGTGGAGATCTACTTGCATGCAGGTTTCCGGCTTTGGAGACGCCATGCTTTCAGCTCTCCTCTGCCCTACCGGGTCACTCTGAGTCAGCAGGGCCGCAGCGGCGTGCTTTCGGAAGGCTGGGCTGAAGAGCTTCTTGTCTGATAGGAGGCCAACTGAATCGGTCGCATATGCTCCTTCTGCAAGTAAAATTCCCGGGAGGCATTTTGCCAACCAACAATGCTGACAGAATCTTGCCGTCCTGCCCCAGCGAGCGACGAGGGCTGCTAGCACCCCTGCAGTTCAGCTTGAGAGGCTCCGTGGGTCCCCAGCTGCTCTCCCAGGCCACTGAATCATCCAGAAACCACAGTGCTGTCGGGAGCGGAGGTGGAAGATACACGGAGTAGCCATGATGGACACTTAGGAGGGAGGCGATGGGAGGTGGGGTGGGAGAGCCGGGAGGAGCTCTGTGGAGCAGGGTGGCTCCGTCCCACGCCCTTCTCTTTGGAGGCAGTAGGAGGGTTCACCTCGCGTCTTCCGCTGCCCTGCCTCCCTCGGGGTCCGTTGGCCTTTGCTCCTCGACGCACACTGCCAAGAACACGGCCTAGATACTGGCCTCCCGGGGCCGGGCTGAGGCCAGCTGCTCATTCTGCAGAATTATTCAACAGCCATCGGCTACCTTGGCACGTAGCCCTGGGACTTGGCTCCGAGTGTGTCATCTCGAGGCAGAGCCATCGCAGCCAACTTCAAAACCCTGAAACATCCAAGCCAGCATCCAGCGATACTTGAAGTCCCATCTCTGTTTGTAGCTCCTATTAGGAAGAGCCGCAAGGTCAGCAGTTCAGAACCACCAGCCACTTCTTGGGAGAAGGACGAGGCTCTTTACTCCTGTAAAGAGCTATAGTCTCAGAGACTCCCAGGCTGACCTACCCCATCCTCAGTTCATTATGAGTTGGCATCGACTCAAAGGCAAGGAGCATTAGGAACAAGGGCTCTAGAGGCGGTAGAAGGGCATTGCACACTGGTGTGGAAACTCCTGGGAACTGAGTCGACCCCAGTTCCCGGTGGCCCTGTGGGCGCCCGTGTAGAGCTCTGCTCCATAGGCCCTTTAAGGGCTGAGTGTTGGGCAGCAGATGGGCAGGATTCTTTTCCCAAGGTGCCTTTGGGCGAACTCTTGCCATCAGTAGCCAGGCGTGTTCCCGCCGTCCATGCCCAAGGCCCAGGCTTCCCTCTCAGCGGAGGCTTGCCCGGTGCTGTGACGCTGAGCGAGTGTCAGCAACACTTCCAGGCTATGGCAGACCAGGAAGAAAGGCCTGGCATTCTACTTCAGAAAACTCAGCCCATGAAAATCACATGACTCACACACGTCTGCTTTTCAGTCTGTCCGGGGGGGATGGCACGAGCGTGGGCAGTGACTCTCTTCGTGTTGTGCATGGAGGTGCCACGCGTGGGGCGATGGCAACTGAGGAAATGGAGGGGGTGGCCCATCCCGACCAAGGCACCTCCACCTCCACACCAGTCCAAGGCTGGTGGTCCCAGGCAGAGGTCAGGCATGCTCCTGCCCTCCAGCCTTCTTTACCCTGTTCTGACAACCACCCTCCTTCCCTGGGCTTGCTGTTCCTCCCTGGGAGCGGTAGTCCCCTTCCGTGACCATGCCAAATTTACAATTGTGGGGCTGTGCTAGGGAAGATAGCAGGTTACAGAGTGGTGCGGGTACAGTTCTTTTATCCAAAGTGCTCTGCGCCACGCTGGCAGGCATGTCTCTCTGGTCCTCAGCCCCTCAGTCACGTGGTCCCTGGGCGCCTGCCTAAGTTTGTGGGCTGGGAAGCCCACCCCTCTGTCTCATGGTCTTGTCACGGCTCCTCTGCTCTGCCTCATGGTCTGGGTGCTGCGGTCTCTGGTGCTCTGCCTCCACTTCAGATGGGGGCACCCCGCGCCCCCTGAGGGTGGCTTTTCTTGGGAGGGATGGAAAGCCTGAACGGCCCGGCCATTAGTCTTTCTCATACCCAGTTTCATGGCACCATCCGTCATTTGGTGGGAATGAATGAGACAGGGATAGAAGAGTCACATGAAGAGCTGTCCCTTGAGGTCGGCAGCTAAGGACAACAAAGGGTGAGGGATCTCATGGATCCTTTTCTGTATAGGTGACCTCCAGAATGCCTACCTGGACCTGACTCGCAGGTACGGGAGGCCCACGACGTGCCAAGCCGTCCCCTGGGAGAAGGAGCTGAAAGCCAAATACCCCAGCTTGTTCCAGACCTTGCAGGAGGTAGACCTGCTGACGGGTGAGTGAACCTTTGCCTCAGCCTTGGGCCTGGGCTAGAAATGGTGTCTCGCTCACCTTCCTTGGTAGTGCATGCCTCCCCATTATCCGTCGCCTCCACTTCCTAGTTCAACTTCCTATTTGAATGCTGCTCTTGGGTGCCCACAGCTTCTCCCAGCTGCACTCACTTCTAAGGTGGAACACATCAGCGCTCACGTAGGAATGGAATAAGTCATTACCTAAGACAGAGGTCACTGGCGGACAGCCCTCGGCCACATCTGGCCTCAACCTACATTGCCATAGATTAAAAGAAGAGCAAAAAAAAAAAAAGGTTAGCCGCCCCTTACAGATGATATTAAAGTGCAAATTGGTGGCTTTAAAAACTAACAACAACAAAAGCCAAAGATTTGACCACCTGAGACCTCACTCCTCTTTGGCCCCAGACCAATGTGCATAGATAGCAGTCACTCCACGCTGTCTTTATCCACAGCCCCTCCTTCCTCTCTTTTATCACCTGCTATTCCATTGACTCACCATAAGGTCAGTAGTTCAAACCCAACAGCCGCTCCATGGGAGAAAGATGAAAATTTCTACTCCCGTAAAAATTTACAGCCTTGGAAACACACGGGGGTGGCTCCCCTCTGCCCTGTTGTGCTGCTGCGGTGAGACTGAATGACCCCGACGGCAGTGAGTTTGCTTTCTTGACTTCATTGGCAAGGAGTCTTGGTGGCACTTGGCGTTAGGCATTGGTCTGCTCACTGCCAGGCCAGTGATTCAAACCCGCCAGCTGCTCCAGGATGGGGCTGACTTCCCCTGAAAGATTTAGCCTCCATTCGGATTTAACATGACAGCGGTGGGTTTGGTTTGCCTTCATTGATGCTGCGGGAAGAGCATCGGAATTCTCACCAAAAGGTCCTTGGTTCCGGGGAATTGAAACCAACATCTAGGAGGGTGCAGAGATCCTGTGAGTATCAGAGCAACACCCATCTAGCTGAGAGGGAGCTCTGAGAGGTGGAAGAAGGGGGAAAGTGGTGGTGGGGCAGGAGGAAGCAAAAGGAAACAGAGGTAAGTTCTAGGAAGCAAAGCTACAGATAGAGTTATTAACAGAGTTGTGTACTTATGGAAATATATTAATCCATAAAAATAGAGGTATTGACTATGTACATATATTAATAAGGCAGTACACTGAGGCTACAGATGGGCCTTGGGCCTCAGTTCATACCCTCCCTCAATATAAGAACACTTTGTTCTAACAAAATGGCATTTTGTGATGCTCACCACCCCACCTCCTGCCCCAGACACAATCACTGACGACAAAATGGGTGCATAAGCAAAATGGGTGCATAAGCAGATGTGGTGAAGACAGAGGATGTTGCCCGGCTATTAAAAGATATAGCGTCTGGGGTCTTAAAGGCTTGAAGTTAAAACAAGCGGCCATCCAAAAGTGAAGCAACAAGCCCACATGGAAGAAGCACACCAGCCGCTGTGATTGCGTGGTGCCATCGGGACCGGGCCACGGGCATCAGAAGTTTCATAACAACAACAAACAAGCAAACAAAAACGTGTTGGTGAGAATGAGGGGGTTGGAGTGGAGACCCAAAGCCCATCTGTGGACAATGGAACATCCCCCCACAGAAGGGTCACACTGGGGGAATGAGTGAGTCAGGGTGCAGTAGAGCACCAGTGGAGCACGCAAGATACTTCTGATCCCTTAAGGCCTCCTCACTGCCCACTATCATGACCCCAGTGCTGCTTCCCACTCTGGACTGGATGGGAGCATGTACATAGGTATAGGCAAGAGAAGAAGCTCATGACACGCGGGACCCAGGAGTGGGAATGCATAGGGGGAAGGGGAGGAGAGGTGGGGAGGAAGGGAGTACCCATCACAATGATTGGCATATAACCACACACTCCCATCCAGGTGGGGAGAACAACAGAAACCAGAGGGGAAGGGAGACAGCGGTCGGTGTGAGATATGAAAATAATAACAATTTATGATCTCTTGTGGGAGGGGCATGGGCTCGATAGAAAGTAAATGTCTGGAAAAGAACGATGGCAACATCTGTAGTAATATGTCAGATACAATTGATGTATGGATCGTTACGAGTTGTAAGAACCCCCAATAAAATGATCTAAAACAATAAAATAAAAAGAAAGGTCCTCTGTTCCAACTCAGCAGCTGCCCCTTGGGCACAAGATGAGGCTGTCTGCTCATGATTTACACTCTTGGAATTGCCACACGGGGTTGCTAAGAGTCGGAATTGGCTAGATGGCATTGGGCACTCCATCCAGAAGGGGACCCGGTGGCACAACAGTTGACCGCTGAGCTGCTAACCGAAAGGTTGGCCTCTGAACCCACCCAGTGGCCCTGTGGGAGAAAGACCTGGTCAACCACTCACTCCCTTAGACACCCCCGCCTTGAAAACCCTAGAGCAATCAATGGGGGTTCAGCTCCACCTGGGGTCTGAGTCCACCGTGAGTGGAAAATCAACTTGACATCACCCAGTAGCAGCAGCTTGCCTGGACTCTTGTGGTATTTGAACTCAGAGCCCCCAACTTGACACAGGCGTTGAGTCTGCTCAGGACTCTCTTCTCTTTCTCAGGGCTCCTGGCTAGGCCCTTGGTGGTCTGTGTTAGCTTGGTAGTTAGGCATACACAGCAGCCCACTGGGAAGAGGGGTGAAACCGGAGTGGTTCAGGTGGAGGATGGAGTTTTTTTAATGTTCCTAAGAATAGAATTGTAGATTTGACAAACGTATGAAGTATAATGGAGAGTATTTTGAAGGTGTTAAAGTTGTTTTGTAAAAAAAAAAAAGTTTAAATATATAACTGAAAAAAATTCTGGGTGTTTTTTTGGGGGTACCACCTTGTATATGAAGAAGAGTGTGGTATCAGGAGCAGATGAAGACTCATTAGCAAGATTCAATAGCTAGGTGACACCACCTTTGTTGAACCGAAGAGGGCTTGTAGCACTTACTGATGAGGATCCAAGAGTACAGGCTTCAACATAAAAGAAACACAAAGTCTCACAACTGAACCAATAAACCACCTGTTAGGAAATGGAGAAAAGATTGAGGTTAGCAAGGAGTTCATTTACTTGTCTCTGTCGTCAACCCAGTGGCACCGTATGGGGCAGGGTGGGGCTTTCCCCATCTCGTTTCCAAGGCTGCCATCTCTACAGAGCAGCCCTGGTGGTGCAGTGGTTACACTTTGGGCTGCTAACTGCAAGGTCAGAAGTTCGATGCCACCAGCTACGCAGGGGACTTGGACACTAATCCTGCTGTGAGGAGCCCATGGCATAGTGATTATACGTTGGGGGACTAACTGAAAAGTCAGCAGTTCAAAACCACCAGCCATCCTGCAGGAGAAAGACTGTACAGGGCTTTCTACTCCTGTAAATTTACAGCCTCAGGAATCTCACAGGGCAGCAGTTCCACCCTGTCCTTAGGGGGTCTCTGAGTGGGCATTGACTTGGTGGCTGTGAGTTTGGGTTTTGGGTTCGATGGCTCATAGGAGCCTGGGCTCCCCTGTTGACCAAAAGGTTGGCAGTTCAAGCAGCTGTTCCAGAGGAGAGAGGTCTCAGTCTGCTTTCACGAAGACTTCCAGCCTCGGAAACCTGCTGGGACGAGTTTACAGCTCTGTTCTGTTTTGCCCGGTCACTCTTAGCCAGAAACGACTCAGCAATAGGATCCGTGTGGTTTTTCCTGATGGTTCTAAAACGTGCTACATCTTGGTTTGCTTTTAAATACAAGTCTCTCTCTCCCTCTTTCTGAAGCTCCCCTCTTCTCTCTTTTTCTGGAAAGAGGATGGTGGTCACAATGGCATGGCTCAGTAGCTCTGGATTCCCCTCAGCTCTGGCTTGTGTGTCCCCTCACATGACCACTGTGGCCCCACTCATCCCCGACTCCCCTCCCCCACGCCTCTCCCACCAACCTCTCCCAGGCTTCTCCCCGTGGCACTGTGGACCTTGTGAGGCATGCCCTCTGTCCCATGGGAAGGTGAGCTGCACCTTATGCCCACGAGAATCAAGCCGGTTATGACGACCATAAATACTCCCAGACCTTGCCGAACGCCTCCCCCGCACCGGGGCCCAGCTCGCCCCCCCCTGAGAGCCACCTCCTGTCAGTGAGTTTATTGTTGCTGGAGAGAAACAGCTTCCCCCACCTCCGGTTTTGTTAGGTCTCTGGGGGGGACGCCACCACCCCTGAAACAGGAAGGTCGGACACTGGAAGCCTGTGGGCCACCAGGGCATTGTTTTTATGGGGTTCCTGGTCACAATTAAATATAGTTTTGCTGATTGGGAACAAGAGTGAATCATTTTCACAAAACAGTCTTTTTAAAGCAGATACACTTAATGAGAATGTTTGCGTGTTATTTTTACAGTTCAAAAGTTTTGTTTATGAGAATTTAGAATTACTTTATTCTCTACAGAGGCCTGGAGACAGAATCTATTAAAAAAAGAAGAAAAAAACAAAACCCAGTTTTATTAAAAAGCTTCCAAACCTTAAGACTTGGGGATATTGGTGCTAAGGAACTGTTACACCCCACTGAGGACAGTGAATGCATTTAGCTGAACTAGCTCAAGTAGGCTTCCAGCTGGAGCTCTGGGGGCAAAGTGCACTGCGAAAGGCAAGATTAGCAGTTCAAAACCACCAACAGACTCCACAGGAGAAAGCTAGGGCTTTCTACGTGGGTGAAGGGGGACAGCAGTCAGTGTAAGATATGAAAATAATAATAATTTATGAATTATCAAGAGTTCATGAGGGAGGGAGGGTGGGTGGGGGAGGGAGAAAAAAATGAGCTGATACCAAGGGCTCAAGCAGAAAGAAAATGTTTTGAAAAGGATGATGGGAACACATGTACAAATGTGCTTGACACAACGGATGGATGGATTATTCTAAGAGCAGTAAAAGCCTCCCCAAAAATGATTTAAAAAGAAAGAGGCACTGTCTCATAAACCCACAGGGGCAGTTCTACCCTGTCCTGGAGGGTCACCAGGAGTCAGAATGGGCCTGACGGCAGG